ATGGTATATAATCAAACAATAACATATTCTAGCAAAACCCTCACAAGACACATAGGTGAGGCCATAACAACACCAAACAAGCGAATTAAATTAGGATGGGTTAATTTGCTCATTGCATTTGCTTCTTGAATTAACTCATCCTGCATTGCAGCAATTCCACTCTCTTTGGATCCTTGTAAACATTTTACAGCAACTAAAATCTATCCAATGAAATAAAAAATATTATAGGTATTTCTAAACTATATATATATATATACATATATATATATATATATATATATATATATATATATATATATATATATATATATATATATATATATATATATATATATATATATACATATATATATATATATATATATATATATATATATATATATATATATATATATATATATATATATATATATATATATATATATATATATATATATATATATCAGTGGTGTACACTGAACTTTTAGATGTTCGAGTTTTGACACTTACAGGTATTGTGCAAACTCCAAACTTTTGTATGTTCATGCTTATGTCAAATGAGAATGTTTTGCAAAGAGTTGTGGTGGTAAGAGCTTGGGGACAAAAAAAACCCAATTTTTGGGCCCACCCAGCCCTTAATGTGGGAGCAACAAGTTGATAAAATAATTTTTTTAATCTTTTTATCTAAGTTTATAATCATCAACAAATTTTAAACTTCATCCAATAATTTCTTATTTTTCGAAAATTGTGACCATATAAAGTTTTAACCCCCCTCAATTTGAGGGGGCTGTAAACTTTGTAGGGTCATAAAAACTAAAAACTAAGAGGTTATTGCATGAAATTTGAAATTTGTTGATGAATATAAACTTAGATAAAAATACTAAAGAAATTGTTTTATCAACTTGTTGCTCCTACGTTAAGTGCTGGGTGGGCCCGAAAATTTTTTTTTTTTGCCCCAAGCTCCAATCACCACAACTTTTTGCAAAACATTCTCATTTGACATAAGTATGAACATACAAAAGTTTGGAGTTTGCAAAATGTGTTTAAGTGTCAAAACTCAAACATCTAAAAATCCAGTGTACACTACTGTATATATATATATATATATATATACACAGGGTGTTAACCAAGAATAAATTTGATAAAGCGTTTTAACGATATTGGGAATTAGTCAAAGTATTTGTCAATCACCCCCCTCCTCCTCTGAGATTAAAATGTGTTCTGGGAAAGCATGGGGTCCTTTTTTAGTGTTCTTTTTTTTTTTCTACTCTGCTTCAGTGCTGCATACATTTATTGATCAGCGCCAAAAATAAAATAAAATACCACCTGCATCATTAAAGATGAATATGAAATCAACACAAAATTAGCTGTTGTTTCACAACACGGCAAACTAAGAACCGATTTTCGAACATATATTAGGAATGATATCTTTTTTTATTATAAAATAATCAGTGTATATTAATTATTATTGAGAATAATTAATTTGATTATTTTTAATCTTTGTATATTGCTGCCGTTTTCATTTTAAGAGTATTATTTTGAATATATATTTCTTTTTTAATGTAATATAGTAAAATAGCGATCTCCAATGAGCCAATGATCTTCTACTTCTAATTATTATTTAAATTCTGCTCGATGTACTTTACGAACGAACCCATACATCATCTTGTAATAAATTGTGTCATTAAAAGAAATTTTTTGAAAATAGATAAGGTTTTAAAAATAGTAAACACAAGCTCATATATTTCATATTTCACATTTATTGCAAGTGCAAATTTTATAATTAATAATAATTTATTTTATACATAAATCGCATAGCGAAATAAAGTTTTAATCACTAAGTCTCAGCAAAAACAACAACAAATGTTGTTTAATTATAGAGTAATATTATTAGCAAGCGATTGCACGCGTGGCATTAAAGAATACCAGTAAAAAAGTCAAAACTTTAGCAAATTCAGTTGATATAAAATACCAAACAAAAAAAAGAAAAACAATAATTAAAAGAATTTCCATAATAACAGTAATTGATCAAAAGGTATCTGACATAACCTTCTCGATGTTTTTGTTGACAAAATACATGAACTACTTAAAGTTGAGCTTACGGTAAGACTTCATAAGTTATTTAACTTTTTAGCCAAAAAGGGCGAAACTTTTAAAGAAATAGGATTTGGGGGTGTTAAACCAAACAAGTTTGTTATTATTTTGGATCTTTTAGATTAGTACTTTATTTTTTGCTAACTTTTTTATATAATATTTGCTGTTATTGGAATGAATTGCAAAAAACTATTTTCAAACTTCATTGCAAGTTGCATAAAAAATCCCTAAAAATCGCTCCAAAAATCCCAATTCTCATGACGTTTTTTCCAAGAAACCCATTTTCGCAGTTATGCAATTGCATTTTTATACCAATAATGGCGATTTGATTTCATGTTTTAAGCAATTAATGAATTCAAATTTTTTTATGTTATTTTTCTATTAGTTTTTGAATAATAATTAATTTTAAATTATTTTTAGAATTATTGTTAAACTTTAATTTGAAAACTTTATTTGGAAAATGGGATTTTTTCATCTTTAAATTGGGAATTTTAATTTTATGAGCATTTGGGAAAACCGCATTTGACGGGACGCCACAGGGCTAGTTTACACCCTGATATATATATATACATATATATATATATATATATATATATATATATATATATATATATATATATATATATATATATATACATATATATATATATATATATATATATATATATATATATATATATATATATATATATATATATATCAGCCTTCGGAATTTGGGTTGGCATTCGGCAAAGCTGACCTAACTGTTAACCCAAAAGTGTTTAAGGTCAGCAAATAATTGCCAAACTAACAAGGTTATTTGAAAGTTTTTTTTATAACCTGTTGAAATAATAAAAACAGTTTAAAACATTTTGAAAAATTAATAAAAAAACACATTTGCATTAAAAAAAATAATTTAACACATTAAAAACAACTTTAAAAGCAGTATTATTATTAGATACTTTAGCTAAAGGTTTTTTGCGTTTATAACAGTGGCATCAACAACATTAAACTAACCTTTATTAAAAAAAAAATTAAAATTGGTACCTGCTAACAGCTATCAAGCAACTACTTTTTTTATAAAATTATTTTTTATAAAAAAAATTTGCAAATATAATTCCATACTATTACTATTTAAAGTTAGAAAAAAAAAAGTTTCTAATACATGCTAGTCAGAGTATTTATACCCTTTTTTGTTTATTAATCAACCCTTGGATTTGAAGGCTTTTATCCAAAAATATGCATCTGACTTCACATCTTTCTTACCTTGCTAGTATCTGTGTCTAAAGAGAAATAATGTTTCAGTAAGCTAGCTCCTATCAAGAATACTTTAAAATCTACAGTAGCATTGGATTACCTTAACAACTGTGTCATCCTTTCTATTATAGCAGATCTGGCAAAAAGAGTGAATTATGATGTCACTTATAACTTAGCACAAAAATAGTGAATTGTGATGTCACTTATAACTTAGCACAATAACCTAATAAAGCCATCATGAGATAATAAAAATCAAGAAATGTTCTTTTTTCTTGTTGTGTATAACTGTTTGAATTCTTGCAATGTCTTGAATTCAGAATTTCATAAAAATAAATTTTGAATACTAGAAGTGCTTTAATATTATTTTTTATTATCAGTTAAAAAATGTGGGGGAAGCAATATAGAAATGTTGTAACAATCTACCCCCAGGCATCACAAAATCTCTGTGTCTTTTTTTTTGGATGCTTTAGAAGATACTAGAAACAAAGAAGAGCCCTATAAGTCTCTTCTTTGGCGGTATTATCTACAAGAATCTTTTTTATAATTGTTTTAACAAACTTTCAAAAAGCATTATTTCACTCATAGACAGCATTGTAAATAGACTTTTTTGCAATTAAAATGTGTATATAAAGGTAATATTTTGCTGAACAGAATAAAAAAAAACCCTATTAAATTGAAATTATGCACATTCAGAATTTAAAATTTGAAAGTTTTTGATTTCAAACGGATAAACATTTGTACATTGCTAAAGATGAAAAAAATTGTGCATTGCTAATGATGTACATGAATACTAATGATGTGCATGGATACTAATGATATGCACAAATACTTTTAAATATTAGCTGCATTGTAAATAAAATTAAAAACATTCAACTTTAAAATAGAGATTTTTTTAAATATTATATTATTATTTTTAGTGATGTACCGATAGCACTTTTTTGGCCGAAGCCAATACCAATGCCAAGGGACGGGAAAAGACTGATACCAATACCGATACCAATGAATTAATAACTATTAAAATTTTGAAAATATAAAACCATACATCTTTAAACCATTAATCTTTTTCATGGAATCAGAAATGTTAAAAAAATATTTAGACCAAAATCAGAGCCAAAGTATTATTTTAAAAAAACTCAATTAAAAAAACATACATCTTTTAATTTTTTTTACTATGAAAAGAAAACTTTCAAAAAAATAAATACAATCTTAGAGGAACGCTTTTTATTTCAATTAAAAAGAAAATGGTACTATCATAAGCAGTTTACTTTGAATTCTTTATTAATTTATTAGTAATTTAGATATCTAAACAACAATCATATATTGTTTAGATATCTAAATTATTTTTAGTTAATTAATTTGTTTTTAGAATAATTTTAACTTGTGATGTTCGAACCTCACCACGTCCCTGACAGTACAGCGCTCAAGTTATTTATCCCCATAGCGGCCTTGTTTGTCAAGGTTTGTGTTTCAGAGTTATAAAGATGAAAGAGGGTTGTAATTATAACTAAAGTAGCCTCCTCTGGAGTGGCCTTCATGACCTTGGGGAGGTGAATTGAAATAAAAATAAATTAAAAAATAAAAATATAGTAGGCTATTCTTGAACATTTATAGATAATATTGCTTAAATAGGTTACATTTAAGTATAACAATTGAACAACATAAAACAAAATTATTCTAAAAACAACATTAAACAACCACATATAAACATCATCTTAAAAAAATAAACAATATTGCCTGTAAACTAAGTCAAAATAAAAATTTATTAAAAAAATTGTAAGTAATGCATAAGGTATATTTATTCTTTAATTATTATAATAATGCAGGATAAAAATATTAAAAAGCCATTGGTTGGAAAATCGATAAATTGATAAAAAAAAGGCTGATGGCGATACAGATTCTGATTGTGCAAGAAGTGGCTGATTAAGCCGATGTCGATGATTAATCAGTACATCACTAAGTATTTTATAAAGTTATTAGCAAATGCAGTAGTAGTGGTGAAACACTCAGCTCACAATCAAGAGATTTGATTTTACACTCTCTATGCCTCTTGATATACCTCAACCTGCTTCTTAGTTTTTCTTAGCTTCTTATCACCTAGTTTAACAAGGTTTATATTTTGGAGTTTAGGGTTAGAAGAGAATTGCAAATTAAATTTTAAAAAGTCTCCTTGGCTTTAGTAGTCCCCAGATGCCTTGGAAAGCCTTTTAAAAGGTGGATTTAGTTTCTATTAAATAAATAAACATAAGGCTTTAAAGTTTTTTGGCAAATATTCAAAGTATCAATATATAGATGGAAGTTGTGAAAAAGATGATTTCAAGAAAAGTGAAATCTGCTAATATAAATATCTCATGCAACAAGAATAAACACATTAAATCAATGCACAAAAAAAGTTACAAGAAGAAAAGCAACATAATAAGAAACATATAGTTAAAAAAAATAATAATAAAAATAAGTAACTAAAGAAAAATTTATTAACCCACATATTAGGCTACTAAACATACTGTTTTATTATGTTGAACAGTCCAAACAGCACTTTGAACATAACCAAATGCACCTTTTCCAATCAGATCTTTGAATACTATATCATTTTCTTTTATTAGGCACTTAACAACAGGTTTTGAATTGCTGCTAATACAGTTTTGAGGTGAGCTAATAAATTTACAGTTTTCATCAACTTCTTTCTTAGATATTCGAAAGGATCTCTAAAATAAATAAATTAATTATTGAAGACAAAAATATATATAGATATAATAAAGAACAATCATAAGTGCAAAATCAAAATTTTATTTACTAATATTGCATTAATTTCAATTAAATATTATTAAATTACAATTTTTACACTAACAACACAGCTTTAACACAATCCATATTTATAATAATCCATATTTTTATAGGTAAAAGTAATAAAAAATCACATATTTGAAAAAATGTTTTTAGTTAGCTTTTTTTGATTACCCTTAAATGTTTTAATAAATTGTCAAATTTTTTAATCATATTTGATATAATTAAGTTGTACTGTGACTAATTATTAGTCATTTTAGTAATATGCTATATTTATGAAACTTTATATGCATTTACTTATGGTATAATAAGTACAGCATGTAAATTTTAAACAATTGAAGTTTTGATTTAATAAACAATTAAATTTTTAAGTTTATGAGTTAGGTACACAGAAATCTTTACTTTATGGAACCAAATTGTGTGCTAAAATTCTGTGCCAAGTTTTTAAACTTTATTTTTAGATAGTAACAGAAAAAAAATTTTTTCTGTTGTTTCTATTTTGAAACATAACTTAGATTATTTAAAAAAAAAAAGATGCCTAGGATGAAGAATATTGGATTTTCTTGACTCTAGTTATAGACTTTTGGTTGTTGCTCATTGATAGTTGCTATGCAAGTATCCTGTTATTTCTTATTTTTTGTTTGATTTTGCTTGTTGTTCTTCCAGTTATCTTATAATAAGGGTAGAGATCTAAAACTCAGTTTAATGGTTTTGAGGCTGGCTGGTAGCAAGGTTTTCTGATGTCTCTGGTAGTTCTCAGAAAAGCTGATTCCATCAACAGCTGTAAAATATCATTAAAATATCAAATGCTTATTAATAGTACCATGTTGTGCATGAATGGTGTCCCTGTTAATGCTTTTGGTGTGCATTGTTGAGGCCACATAAGGCACCCTAAATTACGACTTTAGCTAAATTAGCAGGACTGAGATTTCATGTCTGAGATTATCTTCACTACTAAACTATTTCAATAAATCTTCAACGAATTTCTTATGGTCTTCGAAATAACATTCCATCATTGAATCTTACAAAACTTGCTTGCTCTTTGTGAGACTAAAATAAACTTGGCTGTTATTTTTTCAGACCTCTGTATTGATAGATACCTTCGTTTGATTCACAAAGACTCAAGTTGTTACATGTTTGGCTTGGGGTATAGTTATGCATCAATTACCCTATTTCTCGTGAAATCAGGTTTGAACCCTTTGATCATTCTTTTATGTGTGGCCGCTTAGCACCTCATTACACTATCACTCTTCTCTTTGTTCTTGACTGTCTTCCTTCTACTTGAGACTGCACTTTTTTAGATGTAATTTCTGATCAAATTGACCATGCTCTTTCTCTTTACCCCTATGCCAATATTGTTGTTATTAGAGAATTTAATGCTTATCACACTGAATGGCTTGGCTCTAAAACCAACTGACCCTGACTCATCACACTTCTTCGGACTTAATCTATCACTGCACTACTAACAACTACTCTAAGGTTGACTGGGAATTTTTTTGTAATTTTCTTCATAAAGGTCCTTGGGCTGATGTCTTTTCTTTCTCTGCTGATAAATGGACCTTCTACCTCTTCTACTTCCCGCACCTTCTAACCTCCTAGATCCAGGCAGGAATGGAAGCTATTAATTGTTCTTGTTGGTTCCAAACAAACCTCATTCTACACCATGATTTTCACCTTATTGTGCAGCTGCTATATCTAATTGTAATCATTTTTTTGATATTTTTCAAAAAAACATATATCTTGAGAACAAATGTCTATTTATTATTGCAAGAAATCATGTAAAATGTTGCTGTCTGATGCTAAGCTCAATTATTTCCTTTTTACTGAATCTTGTATATTATCTCATTAAGTTAGGTTTTAGAGATTTTTTTAAGTCTAACATTCTATCTCTAATTCATGAGACTGATCTTATTACCTCTCCTGTCTTGAATCTTATGGTCATACTTCTCCTTTCATTCCAGTTGAACAGGTTAATTGATTGTTAGACATTCAAATCATTACAGCTTCTGTTGCTAAAGTCATATCTCAATAAAGGACTTCTACAGCTTGTGGCTCAGACAACATTCCTGTCATAGTCTTACAAAAGAGTTCCCTAAAAATCTTTTCAACTCTCTCTCTCTAAACTATTTAAAAAATGGTTGATTAAATCTTATTTTCCCTGCCTGCTAGAAAATGACACCTGTGGTTCAAATTTTTAAAAACTTAGAAGAACATTCTGACCATTCTGACTAACATCCTATCAATCTTCCAATTAACGTTCTATCAGTCTTCTAACTAATGTCTTATCTTGAGTCAAATAACTTACTGCCAGACAATCAATATGGTTTTCAATCTTCTCGCAGCTGATTTGGTAACTGCTCTGGTAACTGATTTGGCAACTGCATGATTCTATTGTGCATTCGTTGGAGATGGCGAAGCAAGGGCTATTGCATTTAAAATTTTTAGAGCTTTTGATAAAATTTGACATGTTTGTCTTCTCTAATTCTTCTTGACAACCTTACATCTAAAGTAGCTTACAACTTTACTTTATACTCCTGTCTTGAAAAAAAGAACAGACAGCCAATTTGGAATCTAATCTCACTTCTGTAACAGATTTGGGCTTGCAGTGGCTTGTGAATTTTAACTCCAACAAAAGTAATTTACTGCAAACAATTATATACCTATAATAACTATAAACAGTATTATCACAATGTCATCATTCCAATATTGATGAATAACAACCCTCTCACTGAGTCCTTTTTTTACATCTTTTTGAATTATAGTTTATTACTAGCCTCTCATAGAAAACATATATACAATCAATTGCAAAGTTAGCAGATATACTTTGTTTGCTCCCGGATAATTCCCTGTCAAATGACCAAGAACATTTACAAAAATGTCACAATATATATCAGATTTTGCTGATTTTTATTAAGTTGAGAGTACTTGGTAAAATAAGAATTCCTTGAAAATATTAGCCTCTAGCTCCAAGAAGATCTAAAAATATGACCATTTTACTTTTAGTAGATATTGATCAGGCCACTCTTTACTCCTCAGAATTTGCAAACTTTATCTAGAAATTTTAAATCATATAACTTTAAAAAAATTCGAATGAAATGATCAAAAATGTAAAAAATTATTATTTAATTTATAATTATTTATTAATTTAAATAAATTTAGGTAATTTTCTTATATACCTGATTTTGATGCTCAAGAAACCCATGTGGTTTCTTGAGCATTAAAATCAGGTATATAAGAAAAGAAACTCTCGTCATTTTTTATTTATTTATTTTTCAAAATACATAAGGATTTTGATCTGCAAGTATATGGATTTCCATATATGGATAACGGGGCACGGTCCCAACTATTTTGTGGCACATTACGATTATTTTTTTACTATCTTCCAGAATAGCTGGAGCTTTGAAACTTTTGGCATTTCTGGAGTGCTGATGAATAAACGTGTTAAATTTGTTTCCAGGGTAGACTACCAGAGAGTCCATAGAGGAAGGGCACTGGGGGCCATGAACTACCTAGTCCTTGGCAAATTACCATAGAGTCTATGGAACCCCACTTATTTTCTCAAAAAAAAATTTTACTATCAATTATAACTAAGTAAAGATAACTTTGAAAGTATTGTCTTCAGATATTTTTTTGGTTTATACTTGTTCCATTTGGTTTTTGAACATTCTATATTTTAGGAAAGTTCATATGTTTATTAGTCATCCATTTAAAATGATTTTAACAGAATTTTACATGGTAAAATTTAAAACTTTTTGAATTGAAAAAAGTCTATATATTTTGATGCTAAAACATTAACAGTTGTATAGTTAACTAAATTCTAACAGTAAAAAAAACATCCTGTAATAACATTACATGATAAAAGATGATAAAGAAATTTATCACCTTTTAAAATCATCCCTTTAGTTGATATTCACTACTTCCAATATGTTAATATCAAGTTGTTTTATTAAATAAGAACTATTAACTGTAACAAAAAAACATCTTGTCATTATACTAGTATAGAAGAAATTAATTACCAATTAAATTCATCCTTAACATTTTTAACATTATCAAATTAATTACAATTAAATAAGTAAAATTTATTTGATTCTTTAACAATTCTTATTAATGAATCAAAAAATATCTTTTGCATTCAAAAAAAGATAAAAGTAATCAATTACAGTTTAGTTTTCCATTATCATGTTGTTTAAGTTGCTTTAATTATATTAATTACTATTGGTTTCTCATTTTTAATGTAATTGCATTAATTACTATTGGTTTCTCATTTTTAACTTAATTTATTAATTACTATTGGTTTCTCATTTTTAATGTAACTATTTTAATTAATATTGGTTTCTCATTTTTAATGTAATTATATTAATTACTATTGGTTTCTCATTTTTAATGTAATTACATTAATTACTATTGGTTTCTCATTTTTAATTTAATTTATTAATTACTATTGGTTTTTCATTTTTAATGTAATTATATTGACTATTATTGGTTTCTCATTTTTAATGTAATTATATTAATTACTATTGGTTTCTCATTTTTAATGTAATTACATTAATTACTATTGGTTTCTCATTTTTAATTGGAAATACAACTTAGCTTTACAGTAAGGATGGATTTGTGTGATTTTTAAAAATTGTTAAATAATACTTGTCATAAACTAATTAATTGTAAAAAGACTGATTTAAAAATCTGGAATAACAGATGACAAAATGTTAACTATATCCCATCACCATGAAAAGTTTTTAAAAAATAGAACAAAGAGCTATCATCTATTTAACCTAGAATCTAAAGATATTATTAGCTTTAAACAAACAAAGATGTTAATATAACAGGCATATTTTCTTTTTATGGTATTTAAAGTTTTCAATCTAACCAGCAAATAAACATTGATACATTGAAATTTGGTGAATTTATTTTGCGTAAATAT